CTTCCTTTTTAGGAGAAGGTTCTGTATCAGTTCTGCATTTTGTTCAACTAATTACAAAGCATGCCCAATGTCAAAGGACTTTCCAATAAAAGAATTAAGTAACAAATCATATCCATTTAACCTTTCTCTTTATGTACTTTTATCTCCTTTATCCAAGCGGACACAACTACAGTTAAATTCAATTCAGATTTTAATAAGGCCACATTCATTAAACAGAAGTTATCTCCAGGACACTTCCAAATAGAGCAGCTAGACCAGAACTCCTTTTAACATTTACAGAGACCAACAGTACCACCATGAGAAACTGGCAATGGTGGCAAGGGAAAACCTCCTTTTAAGAGGCAGAAACCTAGGACAGACCCTTCGGCTCTAGGTGGGCGGTCGTCTGCCTCGAACTACAGTGCCATTATCTAATGTTTTAGCACATTACCATCGGGTTCATCTTTGTAATCAAGCTCGAGCTATATTTGACCTAAAATCTTTTGAATACACAACAGTCTTAAAATGTGTCTTTTTTACAGTGCTATACAGTGGGACTGTGTGTGTGTTTGTGTGTGTGTGTGTCTGTACCTTGACAGAGTTCTGGAGTACTGTAACAGGAAATACTTTGCTAGGCATGGAACTGAGAAACAAACGGAAATTCTCGTGGATTGATGTGTCTGCAGAGGAATAGAGAGGAACATTATTCACAGCCATTAACAAAAGGAGAAAAAAAGTGAATGGATGTCACTCTGACTACACAAAGACAAATGTAACAATTTTTCCACTGATACAAATGCTGTGAAAAACCAAGGAAACAATCACAAAAAAACTAATTTAGTCCTTTGTGTCCCCAGAAGCATGGTTATATTGTGCTGTGTTCGCATTGCAGTATGTTTATTTTTTTCAAGTTGCAATGAGATCAGCTCTCAGAACAAAATAAGAATCTGAATTGAAATGAATAAAACTGGTAAAACTATCTCTATACATCTATAATTATTCAGCTTGTTAAAAATCTAAAAATAACAAGATGAAGTAGTTGGCTGCTCATACTGTATTACAGGGGATGTATTATACTCATTTCTAGCTCTATATTCTCTCTGAGACTCCATTAGAGTAGCTTTGCATTCACTCTTCAAAAGCATCCTTATTTTTTTATACTGGCCCTTCATGCAGCCCATCCTCTGTCTAAAACGTGACATCTCTTTAAGCCCCGCCTCCCAGCAGGGCAGTGTTAGTTAGTTAGCTTAGTGCAGGGGCTTTGGACTGCTGGTAGCACCGGTGCTCACAGTCTGTTAGCAGCAGCAACCGCTTAGCTAACAGCAACAAGTAAGGCTAATATGTACATAAATAAACTGTAAATCCCTGAGAGCTGAGGCAGAGAAGCCACAGGATATCAGAGGCAATGGAAAATACTCATTCTTATTTCCAGGAGCAACAGCCAGTAGCCACATCTAGAATAGGTGTCGCAATGCTCTGCCTTGCGGGCTGATGTGTGTAGTTACATGGAAGTGTTTCAATGCTGTGTCAATGTGGTAATACCAAGCTCAGTGAAGGTCTTGATGAGCTCCTCCATGGCTAACATCCAGGAGACAGCCAGATGACAGTTCTGCAGAAAAACCCATTTGCCACTCTTCAGTGCTGCATGGATTATTTTCTCTGCTATCGGCCCCTGGCCTTGACCCAACGAGATGGACTCCACTCTGAGAGGCAGGGAGGGATGGAAATACCCCTGTGATCATATGTAATTGTATATACTGATCATCATACCAAACTCCTCCTGTCTCTCTCTACCCAGACTTCCTTGTCTTGCCATATCCCACTTTCCAGGTTGCTGGCCACTGCCTGTATACTATATTCACCTCTATTCTGCCACACCACCCCAACCTTCTTACCACCCTCAATCTTATTTTACCTGTCAAGACAACCTCTTTCTTTTGCAAAGCGCTGGAAGGCCCCCATAGGGTCAGATCCTGTGCTGAGAATGAAGATCAGCGGTGTGGAGGGGGACATATCATTGTAGAGGTTCGCCAGGTCCACTGGGGGGTTTTCCACAAACTGCTTCCCCAGGCTGACAATCACAAACTCTGTTGCTGCAAAGACTACCTGGACAAGAGAAGGAGGAAGTAAATCATAGAATAACAAGACAAAGTGGAAGTAAAACAATAGTAAGGAGAGTATGTGAATAGAATGAGACCGATAAAAAGGTAAAGAGACAGCATCAGTGTAAGAATAGCAAGTAAGAAAGGGGTAAGCATAAAAAGAAAATCTGACTGTTATCTGTCATAATCAAAAGGACTGAGGAAGGCATTGTAGGGACATACATAGAAATAAAATGAAATAGATATATCTATCAGCAGGAGACATCACTGACAAGACTAAAAGGCTAGAAGATCCAGTTGCTGGAATGTCTGGTTCTCTATGGTAGTGCAACCGACAGAGGAATGGTTTGGCAGGATCTTGCTGAGGTCTGCAAGCTAGCATAATTGATGCTTAAATTGGTGTAATTAGCTAAATATTTAGGATCAAATGGACAAATCTCCAAAACCTTAAAAAATATCTTTCCATAGATTTCATCCTGGCTTACCTTCTCTTCCAAGAAGCTTTTGATAAGGACTAGCTTCTGGAAGGCCCCCAAAATCTCATTCCAGTAGCCTCTGATCTCCTGCTTCACCTCGTTGGACTCCCCAAAAGGAGGCAACTCAGACACATAGCCTTCCCACTTCACAGGATTAATAGATGCTTCAAAACGTCCTAAAGGAGAGGCAACTGTCATTTAATGCTACACAAATCTTTATAAGGGATGTTTTAAGACCTTTGCCCGGCAGTGTATAGATTTGTACACCATGTGGTAGAATGGTAGAAAAAGATCAGAATACTTTGAAAAAGTGAAAAATTATATTTTCTAACATTCTAGTTTTCATATTCGGCACAAACATGATAGCACAAAATAGACTGATTCTCGCTAGATTAGCCAGGATAATAACACTAGGTTTGGGTTACCTAGCTTGATGTGGATATGCGTTCTGATGATTTCCTTGGAGATGTCCTTGAAGCAGGGCAGTGTGTTCTCCAGCTCACAACATGTCTGCCAGTAAAAATCACTTAGCCAAGGCACATCTGGCTGTTGCTCATAGTCCTGGGAGAAGGAGAAATTGAAAAGGAGACAATGGCAACAGTAAAGGAAGGAGATGGGGAAAAGATGCAGAGGCAGTAAAGAATAATTGAACGATGTCAATAAAACTGTGAAGAGAGGATGAATCAAAATATTTACGGTGGGTAGACATTACAGATAGAGACAGTGATGGCATGAAATAGACAAATTAGAAAAGCATTCATAGTTAGCAACAGAAGTGTAGATGATGGATGCTATGAAGCAAAAGACAGGAGAGAGAAGCACAGGGGTGAAAGAGAGGAAAGAAAAGACAGCATTTGCATGAGGATCATGGCGGCTGACAGGCAGCACCTCCAGTCTAACTAATGCCATATGAATGAGAACCAAATGGTGGGTGAACACAGGAATACACCCCTGGTGGCACTGACTGATCTGTTATAACATGGCCAAGAGAGAGAAAGCCTTTTTTCGCCTATCAACTCAATCCCAACATAAGAGGGGGGGGAGATACTACCTACGGGCCAACCTGGGGGAATTTTGGAAAAGAAAAAGAAAATGTACCTTGTTTATCTGCAGTTAAGAGGATTCAGCCAACAAACTGCAACACATTTCCCTATTTTCGTTTGATTATAAGAATATCAGGAAGCCACAAAGTTCCACCAAATTAGACAGACTTTTATCTGACACCAGCAATTTATCAGCATTCACTTTTTTAACTTGATTCCCACCTCACCTTTTCCAAAGAGGAAGCTCCTCTTAGGAAGTGCTGCCACTCAGCATCAGAGATTTC